AGAATATCACATATACTAAATGAGAATAAATCTAAGATCACTATCACCTGTTTCCTCAGTTAAGGTAACTGGTTCAGTGCTCTAACTTTGTAAGCTCTGAAAACAAGTTTCTTTATGTCAATCAAATCTTACTTGGAACAATTTATTTAAGAAAACAAAGCAAGACATTCAGGAAGTTAGTGGTTTGGACAACACCAAAAAGTGGAAATAATGTAATTAAATTTTAACATCCTAGTAGGGTGAATCACTAAGGGGTGTCTGTTACCATAAGCTTGCAGGAAGGTAGATTTTTTGTGTGGATTATGTAGGTTTTGTTATAATAAAAAGAAGGAAGTGGGTTTGAAACAGCCCAAAGGGGAGAGTTGAGAAATAGTTTTTAAGGCTTTGCAGGAGCCCATCCTGGAATCATCAAACATAATTGTAACTTGAATGACAGCAAGGAAGCAAAACAGAAGGAAATGGCAGAACACAACCAGACCCAGATGAAACTCTTTAGGCCGCAATTTTGTCAAATGACTGTAGCCTGGAAGAAAAATCTTCCCGATATGTGGTGGGAAAGGAAGGGTTTCAGAAATAACTAGCCACTGAACATAAAGCGTGATAGTGTTTGCAATACTATTGCCACAATCTTTAGTCCAACAATACATTAAAAGCCACTCATTTTTTTCTCAACAAAGTGCCTACTGAGTTCCTTGCACATAGTAGGAATGTAGTGAGAACTTTTTGATGACCTTAGCTGTGTTTTTCTAACTTAGGCAACCAAGGTGGGCCTTATATAAGTATGTCCTGGAAATCTACAAAGAAGATTCAATTCATTTAGTACAGAATTCTTAAGAAAAACGACAGCAGCAACAAGCCAGTAACAAAACTAGGTTCTGAGGCCTGACTCATTTTCCAGCACATTTTAGGGTCTGGGTATGGGATAGCAAGTATATACTCACCAGAAATTTAAACTAGAGCATGTGGAGAGCAGCTATCTCTCACTACCCTTCCTAAGCACCCAAATACACATATGCTTTCTAGGGCTGAGGGAAAGATGCTAATTGGCCGTAGCTACCGTTAGGAAGATTAAAGTGTTAGCTACGGATGGGAAAAGGAGAGTGAATGTGCCTCCGATGTCCATCCTCTCAGAGGCTTCCTCTGTCTGCGGAGACAACAGAAACCTTTTCTGCTAGTTATAAAAGGACTAGCACTACAGATAAGAGTCTCACTTACCAGGCACTGTGCTAGGCAAATAAGATAGAAATGAAATAGATGTTCTCTGACTTCAAGGAACTTACTCTTTTGCAGGTCAGTAAAGACACAGAAGAAAGTCAGACCCTTCCTACAGGAGTATCTTCCAAATTCCAGCTCACCTAGGGCTGGCCCTGCCATTAGCTTTGATTCCCCAACATATTCTAAGTTCATGTACAAACTAAATCAGAGGCACAGATCACTGAATTCTAGCAGATGCCAGCCAGGGAAGTGCTATCCCCTAGAATAGCCAACTGAAAATCTTGCTTTAAAGATTATATTTTAAGACTTATGAAATCCATTTTTTTTTATGTTGACAATTTGCAGCTTATCGAACTTCTCAATTTTCATCTCCTCTACGAGAGGTGTTAATAAAGGGAAAACAGATGAAGTCAAGTTAGTTGATTTGTTGGTTTGTATACAGAAGTGAGTTTTATTTAAAGTAAGTCTCTGAATTCCTCTAGATGTCACCTGCCATTTTTATGCCTCTATCATTGTGGGTAGTTAGAATCTGATCGTATTTACAAATTTCAGGCCTTGACAATTCCTTGATCTAAGGGGATTATATGTAAGTCATGGAGGGCCTTTCTTTGTGCAAGGCACTGCCAGGGATACAGAGGTGAGTGAGAAAAGAAGTCCCTATCTCAAAGAGCAGGATTTAAAAAAAAAAAAAAGTCAGAGAAAGAAAATATCAGATGATTTCACTTATATGTGAAATCTAAAGAACATCATAAACTGATGAACAAAATAGATTCAGTGACATAGAAGCATGGAGCAGACTGACAAATCTCAGAGGGAAGGTGGGGGTAGGTGGATGGGTAGGGAGAGATTAACCAAAGAATTTATATGCATATATGCATAACCCATAGACACAGACAGTAGTGTGGTGGAGGCTGGGGCGGGGACTGGGTGCAAGGTGGAAGGGGTCAGTGGGGAAATCTGTAATGTTTTGAACAATAAAAAAAAAAAAGAAAAGTAAAATAAAGTCTATATTTTCTATAAGGCCTTAGTTTGAAGGGCCTGTTCCTTGTAAATACTACTGATCTGTAAGTCGTTTTTCATAATTATTACCTCTGTGTTTTTAATTACATTAAGGTAAATTGGCAAATTGTAGGTGTTCTATTTTAAGTTACTGCAGAAGAGCTTAATAAAGACATCTATAAAGATAAGCCACATCTTAAATACAACATGCAATTCAAAAAGCAATCTTAATCATAGCCAATATAATACAGTAACAGCTAATACAAGGTGTTTGCTCTTTTCTAATCAGTTCTGAGCCTATATATATATACACCCTCTTTTAACTCTCACAGCAACTCTATGTGAGGGGTACTAGTATTATCTTAATTTTACAGATGAGAATACAGACACAGAGGGTGTGAGTAGGCATAGACAGAAAGAGAAATGCTGGAAGGCTGAGTGGGAACACGACAGTTCAATGTAGCACAAAGAATGTAGAAAAGAGGAAAGCCCTTCAGAGTCCATAATTTCTGACTTGAGTCAACCTAAAATCTGAAAGAATAAGAAATTCCAATGTACTAAACTGAATCAGGTGACTGAGCAAATAGCACGCACAGAAAACAATCATACAAAGGACAAGTCTAAGTTACGGTGCACACACAAATTAGCTTTGACCTTTTGAGGAAAAGTTAAATCTATTTTTAAGATTCTAACATCCTTAATAATTGTCAGGAAAATAAAAACAGTGATCTAGAAAAGATAATCCAGAAAAGTTAGCAATGTCTTTAATAAAATAAACCAAGAGAAATATAGTTTTGCTGTATATTGATGATACCAAACCCTGAAATAAAAATGTATTATTTAAATAAAAAATGATATTTCACTTAACTATCATTAAAATGTTTCTAATCTTCAAGAGCAGTCTCAGTTTTCATTCCAATGTTTGGTGTCATGTACATCTGTGCAAATCTCATTATCAAAAATAGGAGGAAATTTATAACGAACATAGGCAGGGGAATAAAAATTACACTGGGGTCTAAAACAGTTGTTTTTGTTTCCCATTTAATAAAATTTCAGAATAAAATGTATTTAAAAAAAAATATCTCTATTGATTTTAGAGAGGGAGGGAGAGGGGGAGAGAGAGATAGAAACATCAATGATGAGAGTGTCATTGATCAGCTGCCTCCTGCAAGCCCCTCACTGGGGATCGAGCCCGCAACCCGGGCATGTGCCCTGAGTGGGAATCAAACCACGATCTCCTGGGTCATAGGCCGATGCTCAACCGCTGAGCCACGCCCAGCCGGGCAGAATAAAAACTATTTCTAAATGTACAAAATAAACTCTCTTGATAAAAAATATATTAGTGTACTGTAACAAAAATGATAAAATAGTACAATATTATAAATCACGCATTTTAGAACATTCTAGAGTTTGGCCACATAGTTTGAATCATAGTTCTATCAGCTTTCTAGTTTAGTCCAAGTTCCCGTGTACACATTACTCGAACTCTTTCCTCAATTAAAAAAAAGGGAGTACGGAGAGAACCTGCTTCATAAGGCTGTTGTAAAAATCAAATAAAGAATACCTGCAATGCTCTGCCTGATACATGGTAGGAACTCAACCTCTCAGCTGCTACTTTCATTATATGTCATTATATAAGCATTATATAAGCATTTCATTATATAACCATTTACTCTTTATACATAAACTATGCTAAAGAGAGAACTAGAAAATCAAATTTTTGAAGATTTCTAAATCCACTGGAAAAAGTAATGTAGACCTGACCATATCTTTTAGTAATTGCTTTTTTAAAAATTCTATAATATCTGATCTGAAGACTGAAAGAGAATCACCAGGCTGGTGGACAGCAATTTGCATGCATACACACGTGGCCCTCTGCAGAGGCGTGTGGGTATATTCTCATGAAAGACAAAACATCTGATATATTATTATTTCTAATTTGGTGTCCCTGGGGTTTTCCCAATGCAAACAAATAAGCCTAGAGAAACTATAAAAAGCAACAGCCCATAGTTAAAACAACAACAACAAACAAACTGAGCTGTAAATGCCAAAGCATTCACCTGCAACTGAGACCAGTCACATCTGAGTGTCTGCGCCACTCCCAGAGCATTTTTTTTTTTTTTAAAAAACATTGCATCACGTACTGGTTTTTGTGTGTGTATTTTTTCTAAAGATTTAGAAATAAAGATTTAGAATAAAGATTTATTAGGTGGAGCTTGTTAAGACCATAGTTAACAGAGCAAATTTAAAAGGCTAATTAAAAATGAAAAATAATATTCCATTTAAATATCATTAGAACGTTTCTGATCTTCAGAAGCACAGTTTCCTTTCCATTTTAATCTCAATATTTGAGATGGAAACTGGCCTAGATGTTAGCATCTGACAAATACCATTCTAGATGAACAAAATCAAGGCAAGCTTTCAATTTTCTGCTGTCACACTTTATCATTCTTTCCTCCCATCCTACACCTCTATTCCACTTTTCCTCCATTCAGCTTCAATTTTATGATGCCTGGTGGATGAAGTTTAGATTTCTAAATCCTACACCTTAAGCTATTTAGAGACAAGACAGCATGTGACACTAATGTAGCAATTAAATGCCTCATTTGCCAAGGTAGCACATACAATGTTTACTCTTGAATTATGTCATCAAATTATGAGACAAATACGCACATCTCACTTTCTCTTCATAAGCCACGTAGAAAATTTCCATACCTTAATTTAGAATATGATTTTATATACATTTCCTGTGAACTAGAAACATACAGATTGAAAAGAGTACTTACTTTTGATCAACAAACAGAGGATCGAAGAATTCCGTTGTGATTTTGTTCGCGTACAGGGAACAGCCGGTCATTGAGCATAGCCCTAAAATGTATTAGAGAGAAAGGACCATGGTGAGTGAGTGCTATTTCATGAACATGGTGAAAGTACCTTGTTTGGGAGAAAGTTACTATTTACCTGACAGTATGAACACAACCCCAGCCAAACAAGCGATTTTAGCTTTGGCTTTCTCTGAGCCTCCGACTTTGGTACACTTCATTCCAAACAGGGCAATTATGGAACCAAAAAAGCCCAGGCTGACAGCGGCAATCATAAGTCCTCTACAGGCCTGGATATAACCTGCAATTAGAGTAGGTCATTTATATTAACATAAAACAGGTGGCTGTCCAGGGAGAAATCCTTGTTTTATATTGTGCTCTTGAATGACTGTTCTGTTTTCCAAAAAATAAAAATAGACACATAACCATAATTGTTAAAACACGTGGTAGACAAGCAAGAAAGGAAAGCAAGTTAGTCTATACGGAATGCCTGTTCTACGTCACACACTTTTAAGTTCGGCTGATGTAAAATCCTCAGATTAGCTCTCTCGGTGTCATCATTCACATATGAGGAAACTGAGGCAAGCAAAGTTTCTATGACGTGCCAGAGATGAGTTAGTAAGAGGCAGAAATGGATTCCATTCAGATGTGACTACAAAGTCCATGTAACACCGCCTTTCACTGTGTGAAGCATCATCTGTCACTATCTCAACCCTCTTATTCTTCTGTGCATCGGAACTTTTAAATAGATGTTTTAATGGGTTTGATGTTATAAAATGTATACTTGGGCAGCAAGACCTCCCAGAGGGTGAAAGCAAGACCTCCCAGAAGGTGAAATCTCCCAGTATTAGTGAAAGTTTATAAACGAGACCAACTAAAATGTCATCATGAACCATAAGGAGTCTAAATTAAGAATTATTTTAATGACACTATGATTTTCAGGGCACATAGAATAAAATATGGTTTTAAAAAACCATTGGCTATTTACAAGAATAGTTTATAATTACTAAATTAACCGATTACGTGTAAATGGATGCTTTCAAAAGCTTGTTCCGTTGGTTTGTTTGATCATGTTTCCTACACCATTAACTTCCTTAGTCACATAGTTGTATTTGCACAGCCACGGCCCCGGTAAACCAGCCTGGCTTTCATCCAGACACTGACAAATGTTAAATTAATAAGATTTAAACTAGTAAACTTTTACACATATAGACATTTTCATTTCAGCCTGAAACAATGCCATATTTCAATCTGAAACAGTGATGGCTTATACTAGGTGTAACTATATATTTGTTAAGCAAATGAACATACATGCACATTAGGTTTACATGTGGAATTAAACTTGTTAACCTGAAAAAAACTTGTTAATGCCAAGATATTGAAAGTCACTTGTTATTAGTTCTCAGGTAAAAGCTAAAACAAATGATATTTCTAAGACTATGATAACCATAAATTCAGAAAATAAGGCCAGCAGGTGGCCTCCAGTCCAGGTTTCTTTGGGGAAGAATAACATTTTAAGTTTTAATCCCATTCCTAGGATCTATTTTAAGAGAGTTCACAGAAGATGCTCTATTTAATTGAACACATTTAGGCCCCCATAAATTCAGACTGCAGTGACAATAATCTTCTATTTTATAGCATGAACTACTTCCAAACAAAATAATTTCACTGATGATGAGGCTATCAAAAACATTTGCAACAGGAACACTGTTAGCACAACAGGATAATGGAGGCTTATTTTGGTAGCAATAACCATGCTGCAGGGCTCTCTGGGTGTCTGCTGCCCAGTACCGAGCCGGCTCTATTTGAAACTTCAGTCTTCAAGTCCCTGGGCCAGAACCCAGGGAGCAGGTAGAAGCCCAGGCACAGAGAGGGAGCCTGCAAGGTTAAAGAGTCTACCAGAACCGCCAACTGCCTCGTCTCGTACCGCCAGAGCTGCTGGCGCAGCGTGTGGGTTCACTATTTTTTGAGCTTTATTTTAATCTATGGTTTTGAGGTGCTTTCGCTGACTCTGACTGCAACCACTTAACAGACAAAACAGTGTGTGTGTGATGTAACCTCAATAATATATGTGTAAAAAACTATCCTAGAAAACTTTATCATGCACCTTAATTTGCATTTACTTTAATAACCTTACAGAAAATGCAGGAGCCTGGCAAAAGGTTAAGTCCAACAGTGTGACCATTTAGACTACGAAATGCATTTTCCCAGATGGTAAACAGTGGTTAGAATCCCAGGCTGTTGAATTCAGTCCTTAATATGACTGGGAAAATAGTAAGAGTCTTTAAACTTTACTTAGCCACTACGCATAACCTTTTGTTCTGAGTTTCTCACTCAGTTCTCTCATCTCAGCCCTGGAAACTGCAGCAGAACTGGTCTCTTGGCACAAGTTCGAGAGTAGATATGGGAGAGCAAGGTTCTGATGTGGTCAGGCCCTTCCTCAGTACCACTCAGAACCCTGATTCGAGGGCAAAGTATCTCTTTCTGGTGTGAAAACAGTACCAATAAGTAAACTGCTAATTTGTAGCATGTACAAAAGAAGGCACTTTACCAGCACAACCATTGGCTAGATTTTCTGAATCGGGGAGCAAAGGGCAGGGATTGGGGTTCCTAGGGATGGCTCCCCTGGCAGCTATAAATGCAACCCAGGTGTTGGTAAGCCTGAGGTTTGTAAATTAGGGGTTACCAGTCCTTAACACACCCACAGACTCAGGCCTTAGGTGACTTCCAACAAACTCAGAGTTTATCCTTTGCAAGGCAGACCTCTACAACCTTGCTTTTCAACAGTTCCTCAGGGCAAAACTTATAGGTAAAACCATTTAGTGAAGTGGTGGTAAAAGCTAGTCAAGGAGGCCATTATTTTTGACAGGTCTAATTTACTGACACCGTTAATAGCTAATTAACACATTAGAGTGCTGAAGCATGAACTTATTTACTTAGAAGTTCTCTGAAGTATAATTTATAGTTAATTCTCTTGTAAGAAATGGCAAGCATTCCCACTAACAAAAATAGGTGGCATATACTAAAAAAAAAACCGGGCTGAAAATTACTCTCAGCTGAAGTTTAAGTGGTGTTTTGAAAGGAACATGGGTTAGCAATAAACAGAAATCACTGGCTTGTTCAACTGTGACACTTTTAATTAGTAAAATATAGTGGCTTTAATGAACTCTGTTAAAGGAAACCTTCAAGGTGTCCCTTAAAAGTTAAGGGTTTTTGCCCTGGCTGGGTGGTTCAGTTGGTTGGAGAGTCGTCCCATACGTCAAAAGGTTGCAGGGTCGATTTCTGGGCAGGGTGTGTACCTAGGTTGTGGATTTGATCTCCTTTTGGGATGTGTTTGGGAAGCAACCAATCAATGTTCTCTCTCACCTCAATGTTTCTCTCTCTCTCCTTCTCGCTCTAAAATCAATTAAAAAAACCAGATCCTTGGGCCTATGTTTACAGCTGCGAAGGGAGCTATCCCTGGGACTGAAAATTAAAGTTAAGTGTTTCCCAAATGATGTGTACCTAATTTTCCATTTCAAACTAGCAAAAATGAAAATAGCCACTTGGTGGAGACAATTTCCTAGTAGCACACATGATGGTATTAAAGGGAGAAGAAAGAATGTGCTTTTCTTATGCTGGTAGCTTTGTGTACTTTTTGCAAATACTCTGAAAGAAGATTGTTATGGGGGGAAGGCATGAACTTTGAATTTCAGCTCTGGTTCTTCTATTTACCACCCACTGGGTGCCCTTGGTGACATTAGCTAATCTCCCCGAGCCTCTGTTTTTTCATCTGTGAAATAGGGATAACTTTTACCTCATAGGATGAATCAAATTAACCAAGCATCTGGTAAGGGGATGGAAGTGTCCTTGCCATAATACTAAGATCGAGTCTAAGCAGAAATTAGCGCCTGGGTCCTACCATGGCATAACATTAACTCCAGACATTTAGCTTTTCTCAGCCTCGCTTCCCTTATAGGAAATATACCACCTGACGACAAGGACTCCGAGCTTTGACCTCACATAGGAAATTCAGAATAATGGCTCCATCATCTGCTTCCAAGAGACTTATTCTTCCATCTAAGACTAGATGAGAGAACCACGAGCTTTTCTCTCCCTTCTTGGCTTTCCTTCTCAATCCAGGCCTTGTGCCTGGCTTACGGAGAGGGTCTGTCTGCTCAGGCCTGTGGCCCCCACGGCCCACGGCCATGTAGCCTCCTCCTGCTGCTGCAAAGGCAACGTTAGGAAGTCCACCTGCAGCACAGTCAGCAAGACTGCCTCAGAACCAGCATCCAACAGACACGGCTGCCCTGGGAACACATGGCAGAAGGCGGACAAACGAGGGGACCTCTTTGAGAAGTTCCGCTTGTATATGGGGAATCAACCCCTCTCTATATGAAAATGTATCGGTGTCACTGAATCCCCATAATATTATTCTGAGAGATACAAAAAAGCAAATCTATCACTTTGGGGTAGGCAATGCTTTCCTAAGCCACGAAAGGCAGAGCCAGCAGGAAGAGTCTGATAAATCTGATTACAGTACACATTTCAAAGTTTTGTATGAGAAAAGTCCTCAGAAATTTAAAAGAGAAGCAATGGGCTGAGACTGCAACATATATAACAAATCAAAGGTTGACATCCAAATTAAAAAAAAACCAAATCATTTAAACCGAGTAGAAACAATAGAACCGTGGGCATAGGACCTGGACAGGCAATTCACAAAAGAGGGGAAAAAAAGGTGAATACATGATAAGATGGTGAAAATCAGTGGTACTCAGGGACGTGCCAATTAAAATGATAACATGATAGTATGTCACCCATAATAGTGGGTGAAAAATTTAGTGGCTAGAATGTAGAGAAATAGGTATTCTCATACACTGTTGGTAGAATGTAATTTGGCAGGATAAACTGAACACTAAAATGAATATTCTACTGCCCTGACAATACGATTTCTCAGTATCTACTCTACAACAATACACATACACACAAAAAGGCAAATATAAAGATTTTCAATAAAGCACTAACAAGAATGAACAGCTGGAAAGGGTCCAATGTCTAACTGAGTAAATGGTTAAATAAACCAGTTTGTCCAGACTAATGAACGCTATGCAACCATTACTTCTCTGTGTACAGACTGGGAAAGATACGTTATTAATTTTAGAATGCTGCGGAACAGTAGGTAGTGTGGTGTCATTTATGGTTTTAAAAGTCATTTCCTAGACACATGAGCACACATGGAAAGCTAGTTTGCAATCTGGGTTGTATATAAATGTCACTCCTCTATTTGCTCCATTCACAACTCCCTCTAGAGTTTAATAATTGAGGCTACGCCCTCCTTCCTCCTGCCCCCAAATCTTGCTATCATGTCCACTTTTACTTCAGATGTATTATTCTGCACGTAATAATACCCAGGTAGCCTTTATTTGTCTCTTTTCTATCTTGTCCCCCAACTGTCCTAAGAAGGAAGCCTATCTGGCATGCTATCTCAGGTAACAACACTACAGTTACAACAGAAGAATGGGCTTAAAACAGTAACTATCAACCCCATATTCCTGAATGTAAACCACAGAAACGAAGAAACAAGAGCCCGCCTGTTCAAAGCATCTACCTGGATGTGTGCTCTGCGAAGCACAGGAAATTTAACAGCAATTCTAGGGAATGGACAGTGTCCAGCTACTTATTTTACACAACAGGGGACAGCTGGGTGTCACCCATCTACAACTAGACACGTAGGCCCTTATATGCAGGTTCCATCAAATACCACGTTGAGCAACAAACATTTGCTTTTCGTGGCAAGCACCATCTTAGGGGAATTAAATCTTGTCTTTTATTTACTCAGCTATGCAAATAAAAACTTGCAGTGCAGTAATAAACGAAAAAGAAAACACCTCAAATCTAGAAATAATGTAAATGACTCTCCTTAAGTTTCTGCAGGGATCCATCCAGTCGTGTGCTGTAAAACCCTGGGAGAGCCTGCAACCTGAGCATTCATCCTGACCACGCTGACATCTACTGTTCTCTTGAAACTAAACAGAGTCAGCTTTCTATGTGAACATCTATCTACCTGTTGCTACAATACAATGCAATATAAAGCCTCATTAACAAAAACAATGTAGAAAACAATTTACAAAAGAACAGCACGAGGGAGGCCTGGAGAGGCACTGACTCAGGGTCAGCCTCCCGTACAAGACTCTTGCTCGGCCAGGACCCTCTACCCGCTGCGGCACAGCAAGGGCTACTTATTTTCCCAATATTTGGAGAAAGCATTAAAGCCCAGGCTGTCTCCTCTGTCGAAGAATTTTTAGGAGGAGAGGAATCACCCGCTATAAGATGATTTCTCCTGCCCACTTCTAAATCGGTTCGCGAACCGGCTAAAGGGAGCTCGGGCAAGCCCGACTCCTCCGGCCAGTCAGCGGCACCCTCAGAGCCCAGCTCTCCTGGGAGGCCCACGCACGAGACAAGCCCCCTCTGCGTGGCTCCGGGTCCTAACAGTCCGCAGGAGATGCGGGTCCACAACCGTGTCCTCGACTCTCAGGGCAGCAAAGCTGCTCTTCTCCACCCCGACACCCGATGGTCACCCACCCCATCCAGGCCTGTCTGCGTGTCCTTCCCACCCCGGGATCCCGGGCTCGGACAGGCGCCACGCCGGACAGACGTCCGGGGACGGTGGGCGACGGAACGGGGGACTCTCCCCAGCTCCCCCTGCCCTTTGGGGGGAAAGGGACGGATCTCAGAGGAGTCTGCCCCACCCCCCGCCCCCGGAGGTCCCAGCGGGGGTCGTGAAGCGCAGCGGGC